TTGCCCCTTTTAACTGGTTCTGGCATTGCCTCCCTGCCACACCATGTTCTGACCCTGTCTGGTGGGCAGAGTCAGCACCACCTGAATTAACAGGGTGCAGTGACTCAGTTCTGCTATGCCGCAATAGTATCAACGGCGTCTCCATCACCCACCTCTTTCTTTGAGAATGCCAACAGGGATGTATTATTACTTTGTGCCACTCTTCAAATACATGTATCATTAACGTTTTATGTACTTAGATAACAATGTATAATTTATGGTTATGAATCTTGTGCTAATCTTGAATATTATAAAAGTCCAGCTATAAATGTAAAACTGCAGTATCCACTGTGTGGTTCTAGTCTTAATATCTTGGGGGTGGTGACCGGTTAGTAGTAATACGCTACCACTAATAGCATCAGGTTTCTTAATCGGACAACTAAGGATGCCAGGCAGGAAAAGGGGCAACTTGTGCCAAAGCACCTAACATAGATGGCTTAGCAGTTAACTTAAAAGGGAGCTGCGGTCTCTGCACTGGGCACATCAGCACGCTGTCACGTGTGGAAGTCATGCTGCAGGAGGCAGTCACATGCTTACATGACTTCATTCACAGGGCTGGAAAAGCTTCAGCCCTGTGCTGAGGGAGATGCTGCGGGTAGTGTCTTCTCCACTAAAGTACATGAACATAGTAGCTTACCACTACTGCTGCTCTCTTTCATACTGAATTCTACTTGAACAGGTCAAAACATCTTTAAACGCTGGCTGATAGAGACTGCCAGGGTTGTGAAATCAGTAACAGCAGGCTATGCTTTGGCACAATTCTAACTAGTATGTTGCCTCCCTTGGTCACTGCACTGCGATAGCAATGGCAGAGATGTGGTGTCCATCTTCCTCACACAGGCCAGAATGCTCCGAGTGTTGGTACTAACCTCAGTTTTGTACTGATCAGCACTCAACAGCTCAGCTTGAAATACTGAGCAGCTAATGAGTTCAAGCAAATCTGCACTCTGTCCAGACTTATTCCTAGCAGGAATTAGCCAGGTAGCATGCTACTTTCCAGACAAATGGTACTTGTATTTTGTAACTAGTGCCTGTGTGTCAAAAGGAACTTGGGTGAGGCAGCTGGGATTGAAGACCCGCTCTAGGATTAGTGTGACTGTAGGAGTTTCCTTCCTCTCAACTTGAAAATCTACTGTGACTTTATAGCAAATGTAGTCTGCTAGATTAAATACTAGAACAGCTCATGACCTGTAGAGAATTGAGCTAGCCTGGGGATCCTTAGTAGCTGCAGTCTAGAAATCTAATTACAGGAATGACTGAGTTCTCAAGGAAAGCAAAGCTGCCAGCTCTGATGAAACGTCTTGCTTTAGTTGCTCTCCTGGTATCTTAAGCTCTTGCTAAGTATAATGGTTTTTATAAATTTTGTGACCTTGCATTCTAAAATGCATCTGGAAATGCATACTCCCTGCCATTACAGTGCAGCTGTACCTAAAATGTGGAACAAACTCTTGCATACCAGAGTACTTCACTGTTTCTTTAAAAGTTAAGTCGTTCGCAGCAGGAAATAACCCCTCTTTTAGTGGGTTAAGTGGAGGGCTTAATCCAGTTTATGAAGTTGTAGTGTCCATCCAAGTTTTTGAAAACTTGGATAAGATTGTTTTGCAGAAAACCTTATTTAAAACTAAGCTTCTTACTAATTCCTACCACTTCAGTGGATGAGGCTAGTGCTATCATGTAGAATGATGTGTTCATGCAGAACACGCTGCAAAGTGTGGCATCAGGAGACTAACTTCTGGGCTTATGATGCTGTCAAATAGGAACTTGCTTGAACCTACATACAGGCTTTTACCGACTTACACTTTTCCTGTGAGAAACAGTATGGATTTCCTTCTGTAACAGCTTTTGCTATTTGTCAGACCTTAGGGGGATTTTCCCCAATCTGGCAAACCTTGTGCAACTACAGAACTGGCATCGGAGATGACAAGCAATTTGCAAGCATTGCTGTGCCTCTGCTTTAGTGCCTTGTGAGCTAGGTGGAAACTGATCTCTCCACAAATGACTGCAAGGACATGTGCTCCTCTTGGCATAAAATTCTGACCTGTATTCAGCTGCTCACTCTGTGCTAGCACTTGAGCTCCTTACACTATCCTTTTCTCCCTCACATCTTTAAAGGTTACTGGTTTCTTTTGGTACAAGCACCAAATGAAAGGAGAAGGGAGGAAGAATGTCTAACAAAGCTGCTGCTAGAAGCAGAATTCTGATGGAGGCTACTGCTGCCTGCTCTGTTGGGCCAGAGGAGCCGGCCCTATAAACTCAGGAGGAATTAAACTCAGGAGGAATGCATCGCTAGGGTAAGATCTGTTTCTTATTGGCTACATAATGTTGTGGCATTTTACAAGATTTCTCTTTCCTTTCCCCTCCCCTTTTAGGGCTCTACAATTAAATGGCAATGTAGCAGAAGAAAATGCGCTTAAGTAATTTTGCTCCCTAAAAAATAAAAATTATAGGCAGATGGAGCCTATTCAAGTTAGTACAAATTATGGGAACGATATAGGAATGACAGTAGTAAATGTAAGGTCCAAAACTTAATTTTGATTTAATAGCTTCTTTTTTTAGTAACTGCAATGCGGAGAGCTGGCACTTAGAGGCTGACATGGATGCTTTTAATAAGGCTGAGTGAAACAAGGAACAACTTTTTTCCCCCTAGCAAAACCAGCAACGGTTACTCAGAAGCATAAAATATTTCCTCTGGTTTTTTTTAACTCTAAAACTGACAAACAAATCCTTTGTTTTCTGATGCCCACTTAGATGAGCATGGATAACTTTTGTACTTGGGCACATGTGAGGTACTTGGGCAAAGCCAAATGTTCAACTGCTTTACAGCAGTTAATGTTTATGCTTCAATGTGTAACATTTTCATTGGCAGGTTGGAACTTGGCCACTGAGAAACTCTTAGTGTGATTAAACCAGCATGACAGTGGATCCAATTTGCACTGAAAAAAATTGAGGCTAGAAAACCTGCAGATCTTGGAATAAATAGCACTGCGTGAACCCGGTTCCCATAACAAGCAGTTTAGAAAGTGTGTGTAGTACCTTGTGACAGGAGATGCATTTCCCATCTGTAGAACTTTCTGGGTCCTTCCTGTTCTGCTGTGAATGGTTTGGCTTGTCCCTTGTTTCCAAGCTGGCTATTTCTTTTTTTGCTTTGCAGAGAACCCCAAGACTGCTTCAGTCTCATTTGTTTCCACAAAGCAAAATTGGGATGTCTTAAATTTGTGATAAAATGTTATGGAACATAAGGCAGGAAAATGCTTAATGACACCGGAGTGCTTTGTGACACTGCTGTGTAATTAGGTTGTGGTTTGCTGAGTGAATTAACACTTGCTATAGCAACCTGCAGGTGCACCAGTCCGGCTTAATGGATCTGGAGTCTTTTTATTCTGCTACATCTCTTATTTCAGCAAGCATTCAGCCCTCTAAGAGTTTGTTGCTGGTATAGCTTTCTTGTTTTTCAATACTATGCGTTTTCTGTGGGCATCTTTCCAAAGGTAATGACACATCCTGACTGATGGTTTACTAAAAAACTGCTGCAGAATTGTGAGCATAGGTATGTGTTTCAGTCTAGATCTTTCAGTCTGGAGCCTTTGAGATCTTTCAGGAAAGTAGCAAAATCCACCCGTTTTCTTCCAAGCTAAAATAGACTATAAAGTTGCCAGCTTTTAAGTGTTAAGATGGTATGAATTTGAAATACGGTCAGTGAAGGGTAAGTCTTGTCTTGCTTTTATGGGTCAGAATTTTAAAATTCTGAGTCAAATTCTGAGTTTATTCAGTGGTTTGTTCTCCTGCATGGTTCAATCACTCAAGGAGAATTTTTTTTCTGTCTGCTGTGCTTTTAGTCAAGACTTTAAAATATCTTCATCTACAAATCTGCGTTTCTCCTTTTCCTCCTAGTGGTTATGAAAAGAAGGAATTACAAAGTCATCTGGTATGTTCTTTTCCACAGCGATGAGGTCTCCAATATTACGCAAAGCACAAATTCCCCAAGTGCTGGTTATCCAGCTGGGAAGCTAGGAGCGGATTTGAGTGGGAAGGGGTGGTTAGTAAATCTTTGCACTGCTTTCCTCTTGGAAGATACATTTTTGTTTTCAGTTAGAGGGTGGGGAAATGGTCTCATCCAGGGTAAACTGCTAACAGGGTTTGTCACCTGCAGTAGTTCCTTTCAATAACACATCATACTGTGAGGGAAGTGTGACCACGGTCTGGTAGCAGAATGATAACCTGTAAATGCTGTATGTAGTACATGGATCTTCTGAGATGAGTCAGGCCCGCCCAAATGTTCATGTACAGGGACTTCTGTTAGGCTCTTTAGAGGCTCAGTCTTGGTAATCTCAGTGAATAATCCTGAGTATCAACAGGAGCTCTTTTTGCATGTGTGCTCAAGTGGGAATCATGCAAGTTGTTTCAGAATAGCATCATCTTTCTTATAGTCACAGTAGCTCCTGCTGCACACACTTGAAAGCTGGGGAAATGTTGACTCGAACCTTCAATATGATCACTTCTCCTTGAAGCCCATTATGCACAGGATCTGTTACGCATGACGGAATCATTTGTTCTTGTCAGGGAACCCAAGAGGAAATTAGTTTTCTTATTTTACCGTAAGACCCCAAATGTTGTAGATTAATAATGCATGGAAAGGTTTGTAG